AAGCATTCCGCTAGGCAATTGATTTTGATTTTCAGAGAAAGTAGCAATGTCATTGTCAAGAAATGAATACATATAGCTTGGTCCAAGAGACTGAATACCCTGCACTTGCTCAGAAGAAATAGCATCGCTAAACAAATAAACAGGACCAATCTGACCATGAAAAGGAAATGAAACATCAACATATTCCTGAGCATCAACTTCTTCACTGAAAGGCACACTGAACTTTGCACCAACCGTGCAATTTGTTAGTGGTTCACTAACTTTAGCATATCTGAAACAGAAAATCATGATAGTCAGTGTGCCTTCTCGGAGGAGAACAATGACAATCTATATGTATTTTTCAAAATTACAAGGAAATGTGAAACAATGGGTGCAAGAATGGATGCCTAGAACCTGCATTTCTCAGATGAAACAAGATCACCATCCACATAACACCTCAGTAAGCTACCACTAGAGAATGCTCTTCCAATACTATGGGTTATACAAAGAAAATGCCACTTCTTTCTGACTACATTAACACGTAACTGGACACTCTGTCTCTTCAGATTGATAGACTGAAAAGGGAATGGAATATAATTAGTCAATTGTAACTGGAAATAAACCTATAAAATATATTTCATTAAAAGAAAAGGCTATTTAAGAATAAAAACTTTTTTATTTAAAAGAAGTTATTGGGAGATATGGAAGTACAGAAATATTAAAAAGGTCACACTATTAACGGGGTGTGGCTAGAGAACAATTCAAAAGAGCTTCTATATGTAGCTTCGCAAGACTCGAATTGTCAAAATAATAACGATGAGAGAAAGAGAGAATGAGTAATCAGGAATAATTTAGTAGGGGCTATTTATTGTAAGTTGGCTTACAAATAGCATATTTGCATAATGCCTTGGGAAATAATCAAGTCTCTCGAATGCTTAGTTGAACCTTTCTTTTTTTCCCCTTTCTTCAGTAACACAAGTAGAGCTTTTTTCTTTAACAAGAAACAAACTATTTGTTGATGGTTGAAAAGTTACAAATACGTTCCAAGATACAAACTTGCCAAGATGGAAAGTGAAAAAAAAAGGTTATGGTATGCATGTAGCATTTACCATAACTTTCCCTTTCAAGTTCTGGTTCCTATCATAGTGGTAGATGCTAAACCTCAAATCTCATCCCACTCATAACATTAGCATCGGAGAAATTTCAGTTTCTCTCACACAAAATGATCTACAGAAAGCTGATAAACCCATAATATCAAGGATTTCTCCACTTGTCCACAATTGGGAGGAGTATAAAAGAAATAAAAATATATATATACATAGTCTAGTACCTTACCTGATGCAAAAAAAATAATAATAATAATAATAATAAATTTATTCAAAGAAATAAATTCTAAAACATAAGAGGAACCTCATAAATAATCTTGTCCTTTGCAAGAACAGCCAAGCAGCCTCTTCCATTTTCTGTAAGGAAGCTGAAAAGACCCATTGTTCCATGCACTGGGAAGTTCTCTACGCGAAGCCAACATGAAAAGGAAAATCCTTTATTGAGAGGCCACTGAACAGGTGTTTTAATTAAGATCCCCTACAGACATATGAAGAAAATTTAAAGTATCAGGAAGAGGTAAAAACCAAGTCAAGAAGCTTCAAGAATTAATACATACATTAGAAAAGCCAATCAAGCTGTTAGATGTTAAATTTATGCAACGAGTAATCAGTAATATAACTTGCAAGTATTCCCATAACCAAGAAAAAGAAATAAAACCAAGAAGTTGTTTGTAAACTGTTTTGGAAAAATTTTGTGTTTTTCAGAACAAATATTCTGTAAATATATGCTTGGACAACTCTGAATGAAAAGTTGTTTTTCTTATCTTCTTTTATCGTAATAGTGTTCTAAATGTATACAGTAACATTAAATTTTGCAAGTCAATTTATCACAATTTTTAAAAACAAACTGCTGGAATTTTAGGAATCACCGAATAACCGAAACTGCTCTTGGTGTTCTCTTTCAAGTCTTTTTCTAATTACTTTCAATGTAATTAACTTTAGTTGGGAGGCTTTTTAGTAATGGTTGTCATTTTTATTGTTGTTTTGTGTTCTCTGGCAGTCTTGCTCAAGATTGTAGTTAGTTATTGGGGGTTCTTTTTCATTTCTCTCTTCTATAGTGAGTATTGTAATCATCTGTAATCATGTAGCTTGATCAGTGTTTCTTTTCATTTATAAATGAAAAATGTTTGTATTTCAAAAGAAAAATAAGAAAAAAACTGCTGCAACAGACTTTTCAATTATGCATACTTCAAACAATATGATTATATAGACTTGAAGCATTCTAAATTACTTCAAAAAGAAATCTTCTCTTGAGTTGAACACAATCCAAGATGGTTCTATAGAAACAGCTTCAGAGTTGAGGACTTACAGAATTGTTCCCACTCAGATCAAAAAAAGCAGTTGGTCCCTTCTCAGTTAGCATTGACAAAATACTGGCCATCAACAAAGAGCAATATCGTTTCTGTTTCCCAACTTTCTCACTCCTTAACAAAGCAAAAATTTTGCGGATATCCTTCCCAGATACACTATGGCCACCTATTATCTGAATTAACTGAGCAATTTTCACGATGACATCATCAACAATATCTTGACCGAACCAATCAAGAAGAAAGTTCAACATTCCTGCTCTCACACAAGAAGCTCGATTGGATATAGAATCCCGAAGAAGCTGTTGAAACACATTAAGCCCTTGATGCTGCAATGGCTCACTGCTCTGCCCAATCAAATGCTAAGAGAAGTAAAAACATTTTAAAAGAAAAAAAAAAGGAGTAAAGCAACATAGAAATGAAATTTTCCGATTGAAGCATAAGAGTGGAAAGATGGAGAAAGAATATCAACTTATCAAGGTACAAGAGAAATGAATTTCTAACCTTCTGCAGAACACTCAAATAAAGAATGATCACATCTTCATTCTGCATCAAAAGGGTAGTGGAAAGTGTTATATTCAAGTAGTCGTATATGCACAAGGGCACAGCCAAATCCAGAAAATACTTTATTTCTCCATTGGTAGGCTGTCTTTGGGCTGCTTTACCACTTTTGTTTGTGTTCTCTTTTAGTTTCTCTCGATGAAAGCTTGGTTTATTATCAAAAAAAGATCTATATATGTGTATATATCAAGTCACCTGTATAGTAGGGTACGATTTTAAGTCAAACTTTCCATCAACAAGCATATGGAGCAGAGCACTTAAGACTGCATCACTTGAATGGCATTGACAGAAGTCCAAGAGCAAACTTTGCATTGTCTGGTAACCTTTGCCAGCCAAAGCTCTAAATGAAGCCTGTACAAGTACATCAAAAAATTAATAACAGAAGTTAACTAGAAAGTGGTAGTGTTAGAACAAGAGAACAAAACAAAGTGCAATTAGGAAGAAAGAATTTGGTTCGTAGGAAGAAGCATTTCATTCAAGGGAGAACTATCTTTTTTTAACAAGAAACAAACTTTTCATTAAATGAACCTTAATTGTTCAAAGATACAATCTCCGGCCAAACCAGCATTCAAGGGAGAACTATCATTAAACTATGTGTGTGCTAGATGGAAGCATGCAGGTGAGTGTGTTATATCTATATAAGATGGAGAGAAATCAATCGCCAAAGAGCTAAGGTGAATTAAAATGAAGGGTTCTAGGTTCTTTTGTGTACTAGCTTGGTTAAGTTACAAAATTTTCGGACATTTAATGTTTTGATAGAAAAAGTACAATTCATGGACATCAAAAAGAAGTTAATAGGACAAGAAGCCACCAAATCATTAGCCGAAGTATTTACAAAAATAATAGTAGTAGTAATAAACTCCAGTAGTTGATAGGTCCCTTACGGCTTCTTATTAGGCATCTTATCCAATTTCCTTACATTACACTTTTTCTCTCAATAAAGTTTTATTTCCCTTTAAAGAAATTTCAGAAAGAAATTACGAAGATACGTGCAAACAAATCATTTGAACCATGGAATGTGGCCTCATAGTAATGTAGCTAAGTGATATTAAAACATTAGACTCGTACAAACAAGGTTGCTCCAAATAAATATATAAGAAAAGAGAATCAGAGAATACAGCTCACATTGAACAATATTTAATAACAATCTCATTATTTTTCAGCAGAGTAGCATACTTTTGACCCTGCCAATAGATAAAAAACTAGACACCCACAGACGAAGTTTAAGTACCTTTGAGACTTCATTTTCAGCTAGCAGACAAGTAAGGGTTTGAAGGACATTCAAAACCAACTTTTCTCCATTTGCCTCGTCAATATTACCATTCAACAAAGAGACAATATGCAAAAAGCACTCTCCATCACGAAATAGAGCTTGATAGTACTGAAGGAAAACAAATTGCAAACCTTTAGAACACCAGAAAGGGTGTACAAGCCAACAAGAAAAGGAAGTTTACAAATAAAACAGGCCAACATATGTTTTGAGACGGTTTCTTAGGCTGTAGGACTAATTTAGAAAATTACTGAAGGTACCTGAGGATCATTCAGAACCATCTCTCTGATTCCAACCAACAGATCAATAGAGAGTTCTGCAGAACTTTTCTCCCGTTCTTTAATTTGAGTAAACATCTCAAGATATTTAGAACAAATATACAATTTCGCCTTTTTATCTTCCTCAGCAATTGGCAGTATCTGAATGAAAGTTCAACCAAAAGTAAAAGAAAGAGAAGGTTAGTACAAGCAAGGTAAGCTTTCCCATGTAACTCCTTGGTCATCTGATACTTAAGTTGCTGGTTTCTAATCAAAAATAAGGGGGGAAAAACGAGCCACCCCAATTTTAATAAATCCAGGAAGAGATAACTTATCAAATTATTCTCTAAGGAGACCCACAAAGACACATGGAATTTAGCTAGAATGAATCAACGATATTAAGCTACCTTTATGAGCTCAAGTATGTGTTTGAGCACATGGCTTCTCAAACTTTCTTCCCAAAATAAATCAAACAGACAATCAATTGTTGTTGAATTACGCAAAACCAAATTTTTTGCGTCATCTCCTATTGAGAAAAATTCTGTGAAAAGTTCCACGATCGTTTCCAAGCATGTGAGACAACTTTGGGCTGTCTCACGTGAATCATGACCCTGATAACTTTGAGATTGATTGCCTTCAGCAGAATTAATCTCGGAAGAAATAATATTTTCTGATCTTCTATGTTCTTGGGCTTGAACACAGGCAACTTTAAGCAATCTGGGAACAGCATTCAGCGTCTTAAATGAAGCAACAGTTCTCTCAGATGAAATTTGCAATATGCGAAGCAGGCTCTTAGCCACAGCAATGGCAACCTCAGGATTACAAGCAGATTGTTCAAGGGCGTCTAACAAAGCAGATAATTCAGGCTGCCATTCACAAGGTTAGAAGTTACAAAATGCATCATACAGTGAGAAGCTGAATATGGATGAACAGCAGAAAATAGAGCAAAAAATATTTCAAGCTGACAAGTCATTATCTAACATAATTTTATGGCTCCACTAACTAAACAAACATATATAAGCTGCAAGAGAGGAAGATATAAAAAGTGTTTAAAAGCTAGATATGGAAAGGTTGTAAGCAACTGGAAACCCAACCCTAAGCATGGAAGAAAAAAGTGTTCTCCTAGAAGAATGGAAGTCTCACAAACATATGCATGACCCATGATGCACCCTCATGGCTAAGCCAAACAAGAAAAAACTTTCTGCTTTGGTTAGTTTCACTTATCCTCCCAGTATTCACTTTCTAAATCTTTTTTTCTTCGATGTGTGTTAGTGTTTGAGCTAGCTTCCATGCATCTTAACTATTCTCAGATTAATTACCTGACTCTAGTACATTTTGGTTGCCAAGGAAACTCTGGATATTAAATTCAAGATAGATGGCTACCATGAATTCAAATCATTCCCTCTAACCCCTTTATTATTTGCAATTGACCACTAGGCAAACCCAATATGATTCTAAATCCTTTTTTAGCAAGTTGTAAATCTTTTTTTAATCACACGACATTTGTAATTAACACAAGTTAGGGTATATTTTGTAAATTTCTATTGGGATACAAAGGGTTGGATTGTTCATATTGTAATTTCAGTAATTAGTAAAAAAATGTTCACTTCAGAAAGAAAGAAAAAGGAACTTCATTGAAAATAATAAGTACAAAAGAGACAAGGTAATGGAATACATTTTTCTTTCACTAGATCTTTATTCATGGGGGGAAAGCGAGGAAGAAACAAATGTATCTAACGGAATTACATAACCAGAAAAAATTGAACCAATATTCCAGTTGAGCAAGAAATATTATTTGTTAAATCATAATAAAGTATCAAATATTTCCTTCTAATTTCAAACCTAGGGAATCTGCATCTGTATGCGGGCAAATGGCATATACTCTACTCACTCCCTTATTCTACTCACTCCCTTATTAAAGATCTCTTACAGCCTTGCACGAATACCCCACAACGATTGTACGAGGGCATTTGGAGAAACTCATATCCAAAAAAAGTGAAATTTTTCCTTTGGGAGCTTAGTCATCGTGCAATCAACACCGGTGATAAGCTTCAAAGGAGATTGCCCTACATGGCTCTCTCTCCACATTGGTGTGTGATGTGCCATTCCAGCCGTGAGACCCAACACCACCTCTTTATCAATTGCCATTTTGCAACAAAATTTTGGAACTACATCCTTAGCACTTTTGGGTGGAACACTGCATTGCCGACCGATCCACCTCTCCTCCTTGAAGTTACTCTCACAGGCCACCCCTTTAAAAAAGAAAAGACAATTCTTTGGCAAAACTTCATGCGAGCTTTCTTTTGGAATCTTTGGAGATAACGAAATCAACACATCTTCACTGATAAAACTCTCCCCTTTGATCCTTTTTTTGAAGCTATAGTGTTTTCAGTCATAACATGTTCTAAATCCTCCCCTATGTTTCACTACTATAGTACACTTCCCTCTTAGCAAATTTGGAGTGCATCATGTAATCCCTCAATATGAGTGTAATTTCATACATCAATGAAATTGTTTCTTTCCCAAAAAAAAATAAAATATCAAATATAATCACTGAGGAAATAATAAATAACTTACTAAATTATGTGCACTTCCACAAGAAGTTGCAGCGAACTCCACAAATGAAACTACTTCCATTTGAATTATATCAACCCCGTCAGCCTTTGGTGAACTGTTTGAGCCAGAGGCATAGTATGTTTCAGATTTCTCCAAGAAGTTGTCATCATTGTTCATGCAAAATTCTAGAAAGAACTCCTCAAAAGCAGGTCCAAAATAGAAAAAGTTCTCAGAGAAGAAAAGATCCCATATCCCCTCTTCTCGAAAAATTTCAAGAGACACAGGAGAAGAAACAAGGAACTTTCTAAATGCAGTAAGAACAGAGTGTTGCAAAGCATTGGCAAGGATCCTACAAAATGAGTTAAACAAGCAATGAGTAACAGTCGTAGACCCAAGAATTGAAAAATAATATAAACTAACAGAAAATTGAGATTGAATTACAATTTACACTGGTTGATAATGTAAAATTATATGGGCTTTATTTTGTCACTTGATTTAGGTTTTGAGTTCTATTGTATTTTCTTGATTTTATTGTTGGGCTATTTATACTCCACTAATCGAAATTCTCCATAACTTCTTGTAATCTTTCGTTTTTTTCTATGAAAATTTTATCTTTCGTTCCAAAGAAAATGTAAATTTTTCTCAAAATACCAATCCTAAAATTGTTTTTAAAAAAATAAGATTTCTCTTTGTACCAATTGATCCAACTTCCTGACATGTTCCTTTTCCAAAAAAAAAATTAATAATTAAAAAGAGAGAGGCCAGAACCTCAAGTGGGCAGGAAAATCATTTTGATTAGAACAAGCCTTAATGCAGGGGAACACAGCTACAAGTACCCTCATGACCCATTTGATTGAAAGATCGCCATAGACCAATGAAACAGGTGTCATGATTCGAATAGAAGATAATTGAGGATGCTGAGGTTTAACATCATCTGGAGCAAGAAGAAAAGAACAAAGTGCTCGGCATAATTTCACCACATAATCATTCCAAGATTGTATATGAGTGAGATTGGTTAAAGGTACGGTAAAACACTCTCCTGACTGTGCTGCAACATTGCATTTCCGGTCAAGAATAGGCGATTTAAAATCAAGCTGTCCAGATAACTCCCCTATCTGCAGTTTGTATTCTTGAAGCATGAAAGCTGGAGAACAAAAGCTATTTGCAAATTTATGTACCCTCCCGTTTTCACACAAAAATTGCATATTGTTTAAGTTCCCAAAGCTAGAAGCAGTTAAGGACACCATCAAGTATTAACTTCTGTATGAGATTTAGAACAGAAAAGTAGAGTTTGTCCTCATATCAGAAAACCCCAGCTATATATAACAGAAATAGAAAAGCTGATGAAATAGAGCGACTGTCATTTCCAATAAAAAAGTTATTCTGAAGACATTAAAATTAAATATAGCAATTGGGGTATAAAAACAGCAGTACCTATCTCATACAATAATCCATGTGCATTACAAGTAAGAAATTGTAAACATATTTATATGCATCAACTTCCAAATCGCACAGGGCTTAGTAGTAATATCATGAAAGTATCATAAAATCAGTAGAAACGACAGAACAGAAATAAAATAAAAAAATAATAAAATAAGGATACACGGCCTCTCTAAGTACTGCCAGTGAAAGAACATGCAGCTGCAAAATATTAATAAAGCGGTTCTCATCCCTGCAAAAAAATATTTTAGACAACATGTTATTGGTTGAAAGAAAGAAAATGAGTGAAAAAAAAAAGTGCCAAAGTTCCCACCTTAAAGACTTTAATGCATCCATTGACAATAACCAAAGAAAAATTTATTAATAACTTCAAAACTCCCCTCACAAACAACATCCACTTGCAACACGTAAAAAATGTAAATAAATCAGTAAAAAGGTGCACCTTGTCTGGTCAGCACCAGCTGGATCCTTCGGAGCTAAAACATTTTTGGATGCAAGTCCAAGACCATCCAACAAGACTTCAAGTCCACCAATGCTTTTAAAATGATTTTGACCCCGTGGGTTCTCAGATAATGCAGAATAGAGAATTTTTAAGGCCAAAAATTGGAGCTCCACTTCAATATTTTGTTCTTTGATATTCAACCTTCGAGTAACGCGCAACAACTCTGGTCAAAAAACCTTTTTCAAATTAAGCTGAATAATACATACAGAGGATCGGCAAGAAGAGGAATATAAATTTCTTCGATGAAAAACTTCAGTAATGACAATAGATGGTTTGCCAAAGATAAAAGAATATCTTTCATTTTGTTTTTTAGTACAACGTGTGAGGGTGGGGGATCGAACTCACAACCTCTTGGTTGGAGATATATGTCAATTACCGCTGAGCTATGCTCGCTTTAGCAAAAGAATACTATCTTTCTGATCATCAGAATTACACTAGTCAACAAAAAATAGGAGATTCTTGCACAGGACGTTTTGGTTCTGTTACGAGTAAATCTGTACAATTTCAGTTAGTTCAAATCCATTTTTTAACATTTATTATATTTTTCACTTACTTTTTATCATTATATTAAAACTAATATGGGTCAGCTCAGTCTGATCAAGAACTACAAAGTGAACCAAATTCTTTGGTTCAGTTCAATTTGTGCTGGAAGCAACTAGAGAGAGGGGAAGAAGCAAGGAAGGAAGTAAGAGATGTATAGTTTAGGTCAATTCAATTTGATTTTTTAATGCATACTATATTTTCACTTAGATTTTGATAATTATACTAAAATGATACAGCTCAGTTTAATCTGATGCAAGAAAAAAATAATCGCAAACTGGACCATATTCTTTGGTTCAATTTGTTCACAAACAAGAGAGAGGACAAAACGAAAAGAATTAAATCTAGGTAGTTTCCAATTAATGGAAGATACCTTGCAGAAGGATTTGAGAGTTCAACACACTCTCCCAAAAGCAAAGCTCTAACAAACAAACTTCACATTCGATTATACAGCTCACGTTCTCTCTCATCAAACTGAATCAATAACAAAATCTATCCTTCCTCACCTACATTCATATTCTGCGCTTCAGTTCTTTTTCTCCTTACGTAAATATAACTGGTTCATTTAACTCATTCCTATACACTTCACAAAATTCTCATGATGTATAGAAAATATGATCATTAACGAACTATTACTAGTTTCTCGTGCATGTCGCCATTTTAACGGATTACTACACTTATCAGTAAGTTCTGATGACAAGTTTGGTTACTCAAACTGGCATACCTTACCTACTAACCAATTAATTCCACCAGCTTCCATCACTGACACAACCGCCTTCTGCTGCCACATTAGTCTCTCTTCACAAGACGGTACCTTCATAGTTAAAGAAGGATCCTCCGGACACAGAAGCGAATCTATGTCAATAAAAGTATGTACTATTGACACCACATAAATTAACATTACTTGTAGGAGTCTGGTATTCTCCACAACAATATTAGATGAACCTTCATCAGCAGAAATTTCGCCGGTTATTGTCTTAAGTTGAATAACAGCCCCTGTAATTAAGGAAATCAGACTGCAATCTAAAATTGGAGAAAATACTGGCAGCACAATTACTTTGTTTAAACTCTAAACATGTCATCAACTTAATTCAATAATAATGTCTCGAAGGAAGTGATGAGATTACCTTTCATTAATGCTGTAAGCTTTTGAATTCCACTATAGTACCCAAAAACTTTACAGTTATGCATTGAACGCATAACTATTGCCAAGGCATCCAAGATTAGAAACCCTTCAGAAGTTAAATTTAAGCCAATTGAGGCTCCAAGTAAGTCTGCCGTAGACCGCCCTGAGTTGAAAGTTCAGTGGAATTGATAGAGTCAGCTAGAAAAGGAAGGTCGACAATATTAATGACCTTAAGAAGTCTACCATCAACTACCCTCACAATAGTGTGTGGCTTTTTACAATAGGAATTAAAATTAATAAGGACAAGATGTCCCACAAAAAATTAAACAAATAAAAGAAAACAAGATTAGTTAAAACAACTTGACATCCCATCCCATATAGTGAGAGAAAAATATAGATAATATCTAGTCGGAAACCCAAAACAAGATTTTAAGTCATGCAAAATGCTCCTCCTCTATATAATTAATTCTCAAAGACTGATATTTCTCTCCTTCAAAGTACGTCTAACAGAATGGGGGGGAAAGTAAATATCCAAAAATATTAACCAAACCAACAAAATTCTTGTTTGCATAATTAGTGAAGACCTTCTATCATCCAGAAAGGAGTTCAACTTAATAACCGTTTTATTCACTAAAATGCATCTCAGAGTCACTTCCAAAAGTGGCAGAGATCATTCAACTTGTAATCGATAAATAATTAACCAGGTCATTCCAAAACAATAATAATAATAATAAAAATAAAGAAATCTCAGAAGCACTCTCAAAGTGTTGGAGATTAATTGGCTTACATTCAATGACGACAGAAGTTAATTGCTTGACCTCCTCAATCAATTTTAAAATGATTTCAGAAGGATGTCCACTAGAGCAGCCAACAACAGTATGATCAGAAGTCGAAATCTCCGTAGTTTGGAGAGAAGTTGGGGCATTCTCTGGGAACGCGCCAAAATTTATAGGTTTCCAGTTCTTGTATACAACAGCAAATTGCTTCAAGAAAACATAAAACATCCTTCTTCTCTCCCCCTAAAGATTAAGAATATTGCATCATAAGAATAGATTTAGAGACAGACAAAGATCAGAATAAAAATTCAGATTGAATAAGTCTGAAAGGTTAGAATCATACCTTATCAACAGCTTTCTCATATCTGACCCAGAGTTCACTCAGAATTGCTTCATCACCAACTTCACTACAAATATAAAATGAAGGCATACCAGCCGCCACAAGAGGAAAAGGAGGAGATGGGAGAAGAGAGAAGAAAATGAGAATAGTTGTATGAAGATATTGCAGTAGCACCAGAATGAGAATTATTTTTTAAAAATAATAGCAGTAATAAGATATGAATATGAGAAAGTAGACGTTTGAGTTTTTCATCTTCCAAAATATATAATGCATACAACATATAACTGATATGAATTATGACCATCAGATGAACCACAAATTCCTTGTTCAAAATTTCCAATTAAATTCTTAACTTTTTTTTTTAACAAGAAAACTTTTCATTGATATATGAAAAGGAAAAATGTTCAAGATACAAACCCCAAAAGGGTGAAAAAAGAAAGAGAGAGAAGAAGAGAAAAATAACAAAGAATTAGCACAACGAGAGCAATACAATCTTGAAGAAGATAAAAAGTATTCTAAATTAGAACTCAGAAAAACTCCTTAATGAATTCCAGAGCCAACGACTGCATGAGGGAAAAAACTTTCCTTAGCATCAAAAGCGAAGACCAAACTCTAAAATGAACCAAGTAGAAGATAGGGACACACGAACTAAACCGCGACCGGAATGATAACAAGGAGGAATCACCAAAAATAAGCCTCAATGATGTCTTCAAAAAACCTCCAAATATAAACCACCATATGCCAACCCGCACACCGAAAGGAATCTTTGAAAACCTCACCGGCCAACCAACCAACCAAACTAAAACTGCAAAGCTTCGAAAACTGTAAGAGAGAACATTCCAGCTTTCCGACTCTGAGGATGAGCTCAAATGGGACAAGCGTAATCCTCCTTTCTTCAAAAAATGAAGGAATGGTTGTTTGCTATGAAAGATCTAACGTCTCAACTTTTTGGCTCATTAAATAAAATCTGAAAATCTTCCTCAAAGGATTGCTCTAAATTCTTAACCTTATTCTAATATATTTTCTGGAAAACATATTTTCTAAAAAAGAAACTCTTGATTTAAACCTTTAGCAGGTTCCGTTCAAAGGGAAGAAGAAAATTCTGTGGCGCAATGCTAATAAAGCTTTTTTTTTTTTTGGGAATTTCAGCAAGAAAAAATAGATTTCTCCCACCCGGTCAATGCTATTGCTAACTAACATCCCATCTACCATCTATCTATTTTTAAAATTATCTTTGCCTCGTTAAGGCCATATAGGATGTCACAAAATAGATTTTCTTTGAGAAGGCAAACAGGAAAAAGGAGGCAATCATCATGCTTAGTGGGTTTCAGTTTCTGTACCAGTCTTTTTCTTTCTATATGAAACATGGGACGTTCATGGAAAAGGAAGCTCTACCAGTTGAGTTGCATATTCTAGGCAGAAGCCAACCTGGTTGCTAAATGTCTTGATAAACATACTCGCTCCAGGATTCAGTTATGGTTAACAACAAAGGCCTCGACCTCTTTGGGTGGAGTCACTGTCAAGGTTCAGAGAGGCAATAACCAAAACCCTTGGATTTTCATATGCAAGTTACATGACAATTTCAAATTGTTGATCTCTGGAGATAGAAAAAGGCTTAAGGGGATGATAGTTGAATAGACAAGTCCCATCGGCAGTCAAATTTCCTAGGATTTTTTTACTTTTTGATCAGTAGGTGTTGGTTGATAGCATGTCTTTTTTTTTATATATAAGAAATGGAAAATATATGTATTAATCACAAAAGGACAGCCTAGGGGTGAGGGGTAGAGAGAACCCCTCCCAAAAGAAGCTATTGCATGAAAGTCCTCCAATTATGGAGAATAGCACTTAAGGAGTAATTACAAAAGAATTTGTTGAAACTATAGCACCACCTAGAGGTAGTAAATTGTACATTACTCCACAAAAAAGGGAAGTCTATAGAAGAATTTTCAAAAGTTCTTTTGCTTCTTTCGGACCATAGATTCCACAAAATTCCAGCCACCAAAAGTTCTTTTGGTTGATAGCATGTCTAATAGAAATTTTCAAACTTGGAGCCTGATCAACTCAAGGGAATCTCATTGAGGCGGAAACAACTAAAGGGATAGCAGTGTTTGAGCTTCTTAAGAGATTTTGTTTTCGTCCCACCAGGCAAGAGTTGGGACTGCGGTCGTTATAAAAAGGACAGTGTTTCTCTTGAAAATCCTTTTCCGAAACGAAGTCCCAATGTGGAAAAACCAGTTATCTTGTGCGCTCCAAAGTTTTAGGCTATATGACCATCCACTGCCCATGCACTAACACTGTGATCACGCAATTTGCAAGCAGAGGTGAAGAAAACAATAACGCTCTCATTATCCTACTAAATAATACATAATTTGATAATTATAGAACTCTCTCCAATACAGTACAGAACTACAGTTACGAGGACATCTAATGGCTTAGACACGGGCAGTCTACCCTACGAAGTCCAATGTAAAAACAGAGGAATGATATCAACGGAGTAAAGAAAAAAACTGCCAGACTGTAATAATATCAACCATTGCAAGAAGGTACCAATACCTGAATCGTATTTTTGGACCCGGAGGATTCAACCAATTAGCTTGCGACCCTGAAGTGGACACTCCAAGTGGGCCACTGGATGTCCTTCGAATCAGGTCAGCTACGCCCTTAACGATGTTCATGCTTCCTACAAGAACTCGAAGAAGTTCAAGTTGCCATTACTTGACAATATGATGATCCAGAATCAAGAGGTCCTTCGAATCCATTGCTTCTGCATGGACCAGCTTTTTTCCATTAAACGAACTCAGTAATTAAACATTACTCGATTCTGACGACACGAAAAGTGTAATTTACAGCAATGCCAACGAACGAGCTTAAATTACCTACCTTAAGCGAGCTCCATGTTATTCATAAGCAGATACATGACATATAATTCACAGACCATTGTTTCTCTGTAAATTGCCAATTAACGAGCAACATACGTTCCAGATACTCGCTAGCTACAAAAAGAATCATCCCAGAGATTCACAGTTACAGCCAATATGCAAATAAAATTACTGGACGAATTCACCGATTCCAATCAGCACCTTTATCTCGGAAAACCTCGAAAACGAACGGAGAAAAATTCAGAAGGTTGCCGAAATGGCGAAATCTTCACTTCAAGCTGATCGTGTGAGACTCTCTCAATCAGATTATTATCAAAGCCTACCTGGTTAGATCGCGCAGCTAAAATTCGGCATTCGAATCCCGTGGTTTTGGATTGCAGGGCGAGGGATCTCAGCTGGAGCCTGGAGCTTCTTCAATGGCGTGGGCAGATGAACGGAGAGAGGGCGGGGCGGGTACGGTGTGTAAACCCGGTGGAAATCTCAATTTATTTTCCAGAATTGCCCTCCGGATATTGGTTAATCCAAGTTAGGGAAGCGGTCAAACCTGCGTCTGAGAGTTTAAGACCGTCGAGTGCACGCTATCCGACGGGACGGTAAATCATTTCTCAATATCTTTACTTTATTGTTTTTTTTTTTTTCACTATTAAAATAATTTCGATGCAATTTCTCCGCATCTTTTTTTTTAAGTACATGACCACACGTCTGTTGCACCTTGTGTTTAGATTTGCTTGATTATTGTTTTAATATTCGTTAGACAAACATCATATTTTATCACTCACTAATATAACGATAATACGTTAATTATAATTGTGGGGGAAGAGAATTGTATGTTCTTGATAGAATTTTGACTAATTAAGTAATACCTTAATAGTAAATAAAATAAAATTTAAATGTTTGCGTTTGAATTATTGAAGTGGTCTAAAATAGTTTTGAGTGTGATAAGTGTTGTTTGGTTAAAATTTTGTCTAACGTAAACTTTGAGGAAGATGTGCTCGGACATGAAAATTATATTGAATGTTGTTTTATTTGTTAGGATTATTCTACCAATGTTTTGTTACTTTCTTTGTTAACCATTGTGTAGTTCAATTGTAAAATTTGTTACATGCGACACTAAGTTTCATAAGAAAATTATGATATTTTATAAAAACATTAAGTTTTAAATATAATTATTAATTTTCACTTTACTTACTAATGTCTGACCACGAGTCTGTGAAAAAAAATTAGTATTGCAGGGAACTTTTTTTCTCGGAAGAGTAAAATATTATTTACTATATACATTTTTCAAGGAAAATAATCTTTAGTACATAGTAATTTATTTATGGGATTTGGTTGAGTACATCACAAAAAAAAAAAAAACATGCATTTATTGAGTTTTTGGACTGCTAATGGTCTAACTTAAGTTGTTCGGGGTGAACTTAGTTTCGCAGTAAATAAAATATACTCATTTTCGTAGTAAAAATAAAATTAAAAATTAAAAATTGAATCCAACAAACTTGCGGAGCCCAGTCCATTGAGATTGGGCTTCATATGGAATCGGCCCAATGATATGGCGGCTAACGGGCTCGCAATGTACTTTTGCCACTTGCAATTGAATTGGGTTGATTTTCGAATGCAGGGTTATTAGAGTTTCTCAATCTATCCATCTCTATATAATTACTGTTTCGTCTTTTAAAAAACATAATAATAATTATGTACGGAAAAAAAGGAAAAAAAAAACATAATCAAAATAAAAAGCAATAGTTTTTTAGAAAATCAAAAGACGATCCAATCAGTACATAAAATCTATATTTCAATTTGAAAACAAATGATTTAATGCATACCTTCGTTCTTTGACCATATCGACTTTATTGTTTCTCACCCATTTACATACATTGAGGACAATGAAAATGTATATTGAATTGTTCTATTTGATTGATTATATGACAAGTACAAATGAAATATTTATATAATTCTCTAATAAATATCTTTACAGATATTGTGTAGGTAGCTAACCAATATATATTTCTCGAAAAAATAAAAGAAAAACACCAATATATACAAAAATCATGCAATAGAGCTAAGGAGATACATTAAATCTCATATACAAAAATCATGCAATCAAGTCAAATATATCTTTCCTGATAGCATATAATATCTTTTTGTTATTTTTATTTTCTAACTATGTTTTAGTGTCCATCGTACTCTACAAATAACCTTTTTTTCCGGCCAATTTATTTTAAATTTTGCTAATATAAATTAAAATGTATTACAATATATATTTTAATACGTGGGAATGAGAATTTAAATTTGTAACCTTTAATTAGTTGATACACATGACTTAATAAATTATGATAGCGTATCATAATATATATTGATATGAAGTACAACATGGGATAGTTTAATTTATATATTGACTTTCTTTATCAATCTTTTAATGCAACTAACTTGTTTATGAATGCAGATTATAGAATCGTAAAAGAGGGTCATGTGACAGAGTAACGTTACAGAAAATAAAAGTAGATTATTCAAATCAATTAAATATTTTTATGTTGAACGATGTATGTTAAGTATGGGCATGGGCAATTTGATGATATTATTGTTTCTTTCGTTTTCTATTTTATATTTTTTAATAAATAAAAAAAATCGTAGATGTTTATTGTTTTTATTTTTATTTATTGAAGAAATAAAAAAGAAACTATGTTATCTTATCTAACAGTGCAAATTGAAAAACAAAAGTAAAACATTGTATACTAAATATTCAAAAAAAAAATTTATATTATATGTGTTACCCAATCAACATCATAATCATCGTTTATACTTTGATTCAAAAAGTCACCAACATTCCAACTATATCCAGTTTCAATGATAAAATAATACTTTATTATGATTTGGATACCATAATAATAAAAAGAAACTCGATTTTGCTATTTTTAGAGTCTATATACCATTTCAAAACGTTTCTTAAGAAATAGAAACAATAAACATAAACAGTTACAGCTTTTTGGTAACGTTCTCATTTGTTGTTTCTTTTCCCTTTTCTTTTAGTAAAGAAAACTAAAATTGCACGGTCCTACCTCCATAGACTAAATAATGATAAAACTATATTTTTATATATATGTTGAAACAAATTGGAAATGAGAACAAAAAAAACAATAAATTTTCTATACAATTTTGAGAATGCTTCAAAAAATTAAGAAATAATGAACATAAATAGTTGTCAAATACTTAACTGTAAAATTAAAAACGAAAACGACAAACCTCACCAAAAACTTTTGTTTATTTAAAAAAAAAAAAAACAAAATAAAGAGGTTACCAAAAAAACTCGTTATTAACCAGCACGGGTACAAAATGAAACCAACTTTTTAAACACTTTAACCACCCATACATAATTAAATTCATTAAAACTTCCTTTTTTTTTCATGCATTGATATAAAAATAATACTATTGTAAAAAAAGAAACTAATAAATTCCACTTACATCACAGTGATCACACGTATTAATTAAAAAAGTGATCCCAACTTCATTGGAAAATCAATATCTATGCAACGAATTAAAAGAGTATATATATTTTCTTCAGAAAAAAAAGAGTATATATACAGTTTCCTAGTATTTATACAGATAGTCAAACTTTATTAAGTCTATTTGATCAAAATTACTATAAAGTTCATTTGATGACAAAATTCTATTTAGCTCTTTAATTTTCAAGATTGGATATATATTAAATATGAAAAAGAAAAAACGTACGTATTTATTTTAAATAACTTTATTTGGGTGTAAGATTTGTTGGAACTTGAAGCATGACAAGGAACATGGATGGGTCAGTGCCTTCCCGACCTCGCAAGAGCCTCCAAATTTATCCCTTACCTAAGAAATAGAATATCTCCCTTGCCTCCTATTTAACTCTTAAATTTAATATTATTTAATTTCGTTTTGATTTAAATATTATTTTAATATCGATAATTCCATATTTAATAATCTTAGTAGTTCATACACACTCAGCAACAAATTTGACATTTAATGAAAAAAATCATATACATAAACAATGATTGATTTACAATCGACTGTATTAAAGGTAAAATTTGTTGCAATGCTAGATTGTTCTAGCAAAGTTTTACATTAATTGTCACGTTGTTCTATATTCTATTACATTAACTTTTTGTTCAAAATTTTAAATGGATGTTTGCTTGAATGACATTTTTGAAAGGTTTATGAAATGTCAAAAGTGGTATTTAAACCTCCAACTATTAGGTATATACATCATGCATTGACCTGTTTCAACTACCTTTAATTATGTCCACCTCGTTAACTTGTTAATTTATACCTAATAGCTAATATATTTCGAATGTCTTGCAATAAAAATGAGAGTGACATTTATGATCTGTTTATAACCATTATATTTATTATTTGTTGCTTCTCATTTTTCTATGTCAAGTAGATAAAAACGAAAATACATATGACAACTATTTATTGTTTATTGTCTTTGTAATTGAAATGACAACTATTTATTGTTTATTGTCTTTGTAATTGAAATAAGAAGCAGAAACATGTTTTATTTATGTTTTCAGAAAAAGGAAACTAGAAATGAGAATAATAGATGGAGAAAAAAAACTTTAAATTTGTTGTTTTAGAAAATTATTCACAAATTTAAAAAATGTTTATTAAAAATGAAAAACCAGGAATAATAACAATTATCCAACAATTATATTTTTAAATGATTAAAAACAATAAACTTACCTCGTCATTTTGAAATAGTCAAACTTCTTATAATTGCTATTATAAGTTGTTGTAAGTTAGTAACCGTCTAAATTAAATGTCCGAAAACCAAAAGGTCGGCGAGCTTCGCTCAAAAAAAAAGGTCGGTGGGCCCCATCTGACGAACGACGTCGTTTCTCCAGGTTTTGCTCAGCGATCGGGACAGAGACAGATAAAACCCAACTGGATGCTTTTTTTGGGATTCACCAAAAAGGGGAAAAAAAGAAAACTAAAAATCTAAACGCCCTCGCCTCCTTATTCACGCTCGACGCCAACAAATTCCCCCCAAAAACAGAAAAATCGTGATTAATACGCCTTTCTATATTTGGATCGCCACGTGGCATGGGTCCCACCTCTGACTCAACTCGTCTATATTTCCTTCCCTGCGTGCATGGGGTTCGCCACGTATTATATTACACCTACACGTGATATTCACTACCGGTCCTCGTTCATCGTATCTTCATTTCCTTCCTTTTCCGATTTCTAGTCCAACTTATTGCTCTTTTTTTGGTTACGAATCTAATTATAATTCAATTAATTACGATATCCATTGCTATTTCAAAATTTAATGATTCGATATTTCAATTTTGTAATAATTGTAAAATATTTGTATTTGAGATGATAAGAAATTTTTTTTACTCGAAATTAATAACTCTTTAATTAATTCTGTTTTGATATATAATTGGGGGTAATCATACCTATCCCAAAGTTAGAGAGATATCAAAAGATTTTGGTTTTTTTTCTTGAGTATAATATGTGGGAATGGAGGATCGAACTAATATGAT